CATATTCACTAAATTTCTGAAAAATGTTATACATAATCATTAACTTTCCAATAAATCATTAGCATATGTAAATGTCTCTTCACGCGGGCACAGTGAAGGTCTCTGGTGGTCTTCAGAAACCCTCTGGTGGTCTTCCATAATCTTCCTCACTTGTCCACTTCTTGACCTCTCTTAGGTGATTCTGTGCAGTACGATTCTCACCATCATCTATATTAGTTTACATAAAAATGCATGCCGTGTCTATTCTTAAATGTAACCTTTCTAATAATTGGTCCTTCAGTCACACCATCTTATTAACATTCTTATGTTAAAACAGTCATTGGTTAATGTCACTTAACTCTACTGATTGGAATCCTCAATAATTAGATCAAGGTGGGAAGGGTAAGGGGTTTCCAAGCAGCAAACTGGTGTCCATAATGGTTTCCTTAGCTTCCTAAAACAAAACACTACAAATCAACAAATCTTTGTCAGAGTTGCTGTGGTTAACTGATTTTAGACGATACTTGAATACTTATGCTTACACATCGTACATTTTCTAAGGTTCCTAAGTTCCTATAACTACATTTCAAACTTAACACTCCCACACCTATGCTTCACAATTTTCTACCTCTTAATCAAACCAAACTCTTTTATATAATTAGATTTTAATTTCTTTATCAAAATATTTGCAACACTACCACCCCCCGTATTATCACAGTTTCATTTGACATCTGGTGGACTTCAAAATTTAACAAAGACAATGTCGCTCCCGTATTTACTAGGAAAGTAACAAGAATACAGTTTACCTTTGCAGAAATCTGACCGCGCTCGTCTACCTTGATTCCGACAGGTTCCATTGCTCTTTCAGTTTCCAGAGGAGTACCATTCTTTACTGCGAATGAGGTCATGGGGGTCGGGCATGTGGAAGTCCTCCTCAGGTTGCAACAGGTCTCAGTGGGCACTCTGTTTGCATATGTCCTAAATATACACAATAAAAACACTCTGAAGAGTTAGCATGTTGGGAAACAGGGGGAACTCTATTTTGCCCCCTCTTCCCCTAAATATCCCCTGAGAAAATCCCCAACCTCTCATTCGTGGGTTAAAATTCTGACTAATTGCTGCAGCTAACAGTCCAATTTCTCTCTCCTTCTCTTTTTGCTCTCACTTTCTTTTAATTTTTAATTTCTCTTCTTCCTGTTTTTTTCTTTCTTTAGCTCTTCTATCAAAAACAAAGGCAGCAATACTTAGAATTTTAGCTAATGTCTCACCCTGCCAGCCTGGCATATGTTTCTTAAAATATTTACTTATGTCTGGAGCAGAGTGATCTACAAAAACACTGATAGCTAAAGGGTCCTGGAAATTGTCACGGGTCATGTCCCCATATTTTAATAAGGTTACCTTCAATCGTCCCCAGTAATCACTCAGATGTTCATCAGGTCTCTGCCTACCTTCTAAAACCTTTGTCCAATTGGTTACTCTCTCACCAGCTTGGCGAACTGCTTCTATTAATTGTTGAATGGCAGCTCAGTAAGCCCTACTTCCTCTGTGGTTGCAAGATTCCATTCTGGATCTTGTTCAGGCCATGGGTTTAACCCCTGACCTTTCTGAGCAATTTCTCTATCCGTTTGAAAAATCTTTTCTCTTACCTCTGCCTGAAATAATTCTTCATCAGAGTCTTCATACCATTCCAGTTAGGGGTATAATCAGTGACAATTCCCCATAACAATTGAGCACACTTTTCAGCATCATCACACAGCCGAGGCATTTTTGACTGCCAGGCTACTAAATCACCTTGTTTCCAAGGTTCATGCCTCATTATTGCAGTTACTGCAGGAACTTCAGCAGGCGCACCCGGTCCTGCTCTCGGGTTTGGTATGTAGTCCATACACATTGGGTACATGCCAACACCCTTAGAGAAAAGCTCAGTTTCCTCAGCCTCAGGAGCTGAGGAAAGTAAACTTCTCATTTTCAACAAGGGAGTTTTCCTCCTTTGTTGTGCCCAATTATACCAAATATACCAATAATCAATGTCTTGACTTCCGGAGTCTTCCAAAATAATTCTAAAAAATTTTTGCTTTGGGGCTTTAAATGTTCCCTTAGGAAGCCCTCCATTGGCCCTCCTCCTCTATTTCTTGTCAGGAATGGCCATTCCTCTTGGCACGATATTATCAATTTTCTTTTTTGCAATGCCTGTGCCATGGGTATCTTTTTCCAATTTTCTAAAACCTCAGCAAGGGGCGTCCGCCTTTCAACGCTGGGTACTGACCCCATCTTTCCTAATAATTTTTGCAAGTTTAAACACAAGAGTTTACCAGGATAATTTTATCTGGAATTACCCGTGCCCAAGTCTCTTAGGTGAACTGACCTGATTATTTCTGCAGGCAATTGAGCATTGGTAAGGGGTTTGTCCAGGGAAATATCTAGTTGCTGTCTTTCGCTCTTGTGTCCTAGAGTCCCATCTGGGTCGCCAATTCTGTTAAAGGATTTTCAGTCATGGGTTTCTCTAGGCTTACTTTATTAACAACTCAGAGTTGGGCCATTCACTGCAGTGGTGGCCCAACTGTGAGTTGTTAATAAAGCAAACCTAGAGAAACCCATGACTGAAAATCCTTTAACAGCCGTTCCTCATAGACTTGTGCTCCAGGCCCCTCACCAACTTGGTGAGGACACGTTCCAGCAACTCAATGTCTTTCCTGTAGTGAGGGGCCCAAAACTGAACACAGTACTTGAGGTGCGGCCTCACCAGTGCCGAATACAGGAGAACAATCAACCCCCTGCTCCTGCTGGCCACACTATTTGTGACACAGGCCAGGATGCCCTTGGCCTTCTTGGCCACCTGGGCATACTGCTGGCTCATATTCAGCCGGCTGTCAACCAGCACCCCCAGGTCTGAAAGTGTTAAAGCCCCAAGGACAAGGGGATGCTGTAAATAAAGGTATGTTTCCTTCTGTTCCCTGAGAAGATAACAACCTTAAGCCCCTTTTCATATAAATTAGTGGAGTTTGTCAGTATGGTTTGCATCAAAAGGATGTTAATCAAGGAAGAGTAGGTAATAGAGCTGCCCATGAACATTCTTGAGGATAAGCTATCTGACCGTGTAAAAAGTGCCACAGAGCAGAATCCGAGAGGGAGCTCAGACAAGGGATGAAGACTATAAAAGAGTACCAGAGGACCCCAAAAGACCACCGAAAGAAGACGGCTGCTTGTGCGGATCAGACGTTTACATATATTAATGAGTTCTCGGAAATCTCACATTTACATAAATTAGTCCTTGGAAATTCTATGAATGTGTATAGCTTTAATCTACATAATCTCTAAAAGTTTGCCCAATTGTTGAAGCAGTCCTGGTGGACTCATCCCTGATGCTGCCCAGTGCTGTAATAAAGGATGCCTGCTTAATAGTAACCTCATTGCTATTCAGTTCTATTTCAGGGAACTCTCGGAAAACTCCGTTTCCCCTACGGGGAGATTCGGACTTGAAGGAGAAGTATCCATGAATTTTTGTTTCAGGTCTTTTTCCGCTGGGCAGCTTTCCAGCCACTCTTCCCCAAGGCTGTAGCACTGCATGGGGCTGCTGTGACCCAAGTGCAGGACCCGGCACTTGGCCTTGTTGAACTTCATACAGTTGGCCTCAGCCCATCCATCCAGACTGTCCAGATCCCTCTGTAGAGCCTTCCTACCCTCAAGCAGATCATCAGTGTCATCTTCAAACCTGCTGAGGGTGCACTCGATCCCCTCATCCAGATCACTGATAAAGATATTAAACAGAACTGGCCCCAATACTGAGCCCTGGAGAACACCACTTGTGACCAGCCACCAACTGGATTTAACTCAGTTCACCACAACTCTCTGGGTTCGTCCACCCAGTCACTTTTTTACCCAGCAGAGCAGAGACAGTGTCCAAGACCTTACTGAAGTCCAGGTAGACAACATCCACAGCCTTCCCCTCATCTGCTGGGCAGGTCACCTGGTGATAGAAGGAGATCAGGTTGGTCAAGCATGATGAGCAGGTTGGTCAGTGCACGGGGCGCGAGTGTGCAACACGGGGTTCAGCTGTGCAATACAAGGGGGTGCAGGTGTGCAATGCACGGGGGCGCGGGTGTGCAATACACGGGGGCGCGGGTGTGCAATACACGGGTATGCGGGTGTGCAATGCACGGGGGTTTGGCTGTGCAATAGAAAGGGGTGCGGGTGTGCAATGCACGGGGGGGCGGCTGTGCAAAGGACCG